ATTTAAAATACAGTCAGCCCTGGGCAGGGCACAGTGGCTCATGCTTTGGGAGCCTGAGGAGGGAAGATCACATGAGGCCAGGAGTTCAAGACCAGCCTGGGCAACATAGTAAGACTCCGTCTCTAGAAAAAATAAGAAAAATTAGCCAGGTGTGGTAGCACACACCTATAGTCCCAGCTACTCAGGAGGCTGAGGTGGGAAGATCGCTTGAGCCCAAGGTTACAGTGAGCTATGATCGCACTGTACTCCAGCCTGGGCAATAGAGCAAGACTCCATCTCTTAAAAAAAAATAGTCACCCCTCGGTATCCACAAGAGATTGGTTCCAAGACCCCCATAGATACTAAAATCCACAATGCTCAAGTCCCTTACAGTTGGCCCTCCATATCTGTGGGTTCCACATACCCCAACACAGAGCACCAACCATAATTATATAAAATTTAAAATTCAGCTCCTCCATTGCATAAGACACATTTCAAATGCTCAACAGCCACATGTGGCTTGTGCCTACCACAATAAACAGCTCTTATGGAGAGCAATTCCATAAGTGCAGAAAGTTCTACTTGATAGCATTATCCTAGAACACAGGTTGAAAAGCATGTTAACATGCCATCTGGGAATCAGTGAAGAGACTACCATGATAAGGTAAACCACCTCTGCTTTCAAACAAATTTTGTTTTCTCTGCTGAATCCCAGGTTCTTAGAATAGTACAAAGTGGGTGCTCAATAAATATTTAAATCTTCTGCTGTTATTTTAAAGACACTATCCCATTATTTCAGCATATAAATTCAAAATGAGCTAAAAGCACTTCAAGCATGTGCCCACCACTGAACAACATTTGTTCTGACACTTCCACAATATGTATTTCTGCCACTTTAAATTGACAGACAATGGTATTAAACACAGCAGGAAGCACAATTTTCTGGGCAGTAAGCTTTAAAAGGGGTAAAATTTGTGAATGTGTTGTTCAATGTACAGTCCAAAGAACTTTCTGCATAGATCCCATTTTTTTTTGCTACCCTCAGCATCTCTGTCCTACTGACCTGTTAATGGTATCCAGGTATGGACAGTGGCGGCTCCTCCGGTCTTCAGAATCCTCTCGGCCATTCTTTGCTAAAAGGAAAATCATCATAGGCTTTGAAAATGGGAAACTTTCACTCAGGGTCAACTAATAGTATAAACAAAGAAACAAAAAAATGGAAAAAATTAATCAAGATGAGCGATTTTACAGGTGGTAACAACATCCAAAAAAAGTCCATTAATGGAACAAGCCCCACACTGGGATCTTTGGTATACATATAACCAATGAAAGTTTTGTTTGCATGTTATATAAAAAAATCTCATGCAGCATGAAAAATATCATGAAATATATCACAGATGCTAAGATAAACTGAATGTAATGTGCAAGTACTGCACAGTTTAAAGAAGACTGTGCATGTACATACTTTAAATCTACCACTTGTTAAATAGCATGAAGGGTCTGAGATTTTATATTTGCAAGCTAACAAGTTAGTCTGCCACAGTTTCATGGTTGGTGATGGAAAACATGTAACTACTGGGTCTGAAACAAAAGATAGTTTATTATTTATTACAGCACTAGCAGTAGCCAGAACATAGCATCAGTGCCAGTTCCCCAAGTCCCATTCTCACAAAGCAACATGGATTGTCTAATCCACGCACACAGTGGCTTGCCTTACAGGAGAGAGGAACCCTAAGCTTAGAGAACCTGTATCTTTTATAACCGGTTGTGGGCTTTCTTCCCCTTTGCTTTGTAGAGAGACACCTTCTCTGTCTTCCAAGGCTGCTCCTTGAGAGGCAGTCTGGTAGCAGTATGTGCAAACTCCAGAGATCAAAAAAGAATTGTCTCCTGACTTTATTTAGCTTAAAAAGTGGTATATAACCAGTACTTTAGTGCAGGTGTCAAGCGCTCAGACTCTCCACTCTGAACAATCTGATTCCAGAAATTACAACAGGACACCACACCTCAAAGGGTTTTGTAAAAACGGAGGGAAGGAACACCTGTAAAATAGCACTAACGTAGTACTGTACTAAGATAGCACAGCGTCGCATTAGACACTCGATAAAGCGAAGCTGCTGTTATTGTTAGAAATATCCTATGCCGAGCAGTCTAGATCCCTCCCCCATTCCCAGTCTCCTACCCCCACCCCCGCCCCAGCAAGGAAACAGCGGAAGGCTGGAGAGAAAAAGGACACGACGGTGGAGCTCGTGCCCGGCCCAGCCCGGCCCCTCGCACCTCGCACCTCCCGCTCAGGCTCCGAGTCCTCGTCGGCCTCACGCTCCCGCTTCACCCGCACGGCTGGGAAGGCAGGCGCCGGGGCCTCGCGCGCGCTCGCCGGCTCTACCTCCCGCTTCACGCGCACCGGGCTGCTCCGGGAGCTCGCTGTCTCCGGCTCCCGCTCCCGATCTCGCTCCCGCTTGACGCGACCCGAGCTGCCCCGAGACTCGGACTCGCGCTTCCCGCGGGTGGAACCACGGGACTCCCGCTTGGACCGGCCGGACATCTCCACTACCGGCCGAACCGCCCAGTACAGGCGCCAGGCACGCTGGAGAGCGCGCAGCACACGGCCAATCAGGAGCGGGGCCGAAAACTACGAGTCGCCACTGGGGACAACTCGCGCTGCAGGAAATTTATGGGCCGCAGCGTGCGCACCTGAGAGCCTTCTGTGGGCCTACTGCTACATTACACGGCATTTCCAGCTTAAAGAGACAGGAACCTTTTACTGACCACGGAGTTTTCTCCATAAAAGAAGCTGTGTCGTTAGGCCCCATAATTCTTCAAGATAATTTGTGCCTCGGCAGAAAGACACATCTCGCATATACTCACTCATATGTGGGAACTAAATATTAAAAAACATCTCATGGAGACAGAATGGAATGACAGTTACCAGAGGTTGGGAAGGGTAAGGGGGGGGTGATTTATGGGTACAAAATTACAGTTAGATAAAATGAACAATATTAGATAGCACAACAAAGTGACTATAATTAACAATAAGTTAGGGTACACTTTTTTGTTGTTGTTGTTGTTGAGTCAGAGTCTCACTCTGTTGCCTTGTCTACAGTGCCGTGGCGGCAGCCTAGCTCACAGCAACCTCCAACTTCTGGGCTCAACCAATCCTTCTGCCTCAGCCTCCCCAGTAGCTGGGACTACAGGCATGCGCCAACATGCCCGGCTAATTTTTTCTATATATTTTTAGTTGGCCAATTGATTTCTCTCTATTTTTAGTAGAGACGGGTCTCGCTTTTGCTCAGGCTGGTTTCGAACTCCTGAGCTCAAACGATCCTCCCACCTCAGTCTCCCAGAGTGCTAGGATTACAGGCAGTGAGCCACCGCGCCCGGCCTAGGGCATACTAGAGAACTGGGAGTGTCCTGGCGCAGTGGCTCATGTCTATAATCCCTGCACTCTGGGAGGCTAAGGCGGGAGGATCAATTGAGCTCAAGAGTTCGAGGCCAGCCTGAGCAAGAGCGAACCCGTCGCTACTAAAAATAGAAAAAGTTAGCAGAGGAACTAAAAACAGAATAAAATTAGCCGGGCGTGGTGGCGAGCACCTACAGTCCCAGCTACTCTGGAGTCTGAGGCAGAAGGATCCTTTGATCCTGGCAGTTTGAGGTTGCTGTGAGCTAGGACCCAGGGCAACAGATCGAGACCGTGTCTCTGAGTAAATATATATAGTATGTGTGTGTGTGTGTGTGTGTGTGTGTGTGTGTGTGTCTAAAAGAATGGAGGGAGGGAGGAAGGAAGGAAGGGGAATATTCCTAGCACAGGAAATGGTCAACGCCTGAGGTGATGGATACCCCAATTACCCTGATTTGATCAATTCACATTGTAGAAGAGAAAGATACTTTGTGCCTCTAAACTACTATTTGTGGGTCGTCTCCGCGCCTCAGAGGTTACGACCCTGCGCAGGAAAGCTAGGCGACATCCCCATGGTCCCCTTCATGCGAAACCTGAAGACTTTGGGTCCACATGTAGAGGGTTCTCTGTACCAGCAAAACGCAAACGCCCGGCACAGGCGGATTTGCCATGGAGCCAATAAAGCTCTAACCTCCGGGGCGCCCCGAACTGGTTTGCTCGTTTGAACAGTTGCGCGGAGGTATAACTGACGTGCAAGCAACTGCGGGTTTAACTGTGCACTTTGCTCAGTTCTGACTGGCGCACACACCGGGAAGCCTCCACCACTAGCAGGAGAAGGCGGCCGTGCAGCCCCCGGGAAAGCCCCGCCCGGCCCACGATCTGCCCGGCCGGTGTGGGTACCGAAGGGCTCGGCGCCCCTAGTGCGTAAGGACAGCTCCTTCCCTGGGCCCGCTCAGAAACAGTCCGCCGCCGTTGGCCGGGCGGCGCGGTGGCTCACGCCTGTAATCCCAGCTCTCTGGGAGGCAGAGGCGGGCGGATCGCTCGAGGTCAGGAGTTCGAGACCAGCCTGAGCAAGAGCGAGACCCCGTCTCTACGAAAAATACAAAGAAATTGACTGGCCAACTAAGAATATGTATGGAAAAAAAAATTAGCGGGGAATGGTGGCTCATGCCTGTAGTCCCAGCTCCTCGGGAGGCTGAGGCAGTAGGATCGCTTGAGCCCAGGAGTTTGAGGTTGCTGTGAGCTAGGCTGACGCCATGGCACTCACTCTAGCCTGGGACAGGCGAGGCTCTCTCAAAGTAGAAAGAAAGAAACAGTCCGCCGGGTGGGTGGACCACAGCTGGCCCCTGTTCTAATCGGGAATTCCCGATTTTGACATTTGAAAGTGAAAACTCGCAAATTACACAAGCTCAGGCCCTTCAATCGCCCGGATCCTCCCGCGGGCACAGCTAAACCACCGGCTTTCGCGGAGCCAGCGGATGGGACACGGCTGGGCCTTGTGTCCATAACGTTACAAAGAAACAAAAGCCCCGCCTGGTGGTGGAGGTCAAGCATGCCCCACCCCCACCCAACCTGCGCCGCCAATTCCGCGCGCGGCGACACTCGGCCCGGGCGGGCCTCCTGGGCCGGAAGTCAGGACGCGGGGCCGGAAGCTGTAGGAGAGGCGGCACCGACCTCGGCGGGACGGGTGGACGGCTGTTGAGGCCGTTGAGGCTGTGGCTCTGCGCCCCTCGTTCCGGATGGAGGCGGGGCCTGGTCCCGGACCCAGGCTCTGCTGCAAGCCTGGCGGACGGCTGGACATGAACCACGGCTTCGTGCACCATATCCGACGGAACCAGATCGCCCGGTACCGCCCCGCCCTGCGCCGCCGCCGCCACCCCTGGCCTAGCCTGGTCTGGCCGTCCCTGATTCCCGCTCGGCTCCCCGCAGGGACAACTACGACAAGAAGGTGAAGCAGGCGGCCAAGGAGAAGGTGAGGAGACGGCACACGCCCGCGCCGACGCGGCCCCGTAAGCCAGACCTGCAAGTGTACCTGCCGCGACACCGAGGTGAGGCCGCCCGCCCCGCCTGCCTCAAGCCCGCGCGCTCTTCCTGCAACGCACTCCCCTTCTCTGTAGGGAAAAACTATTTCTTATCCCCGAGGCTCAGCTCAGTTCGTCTGTTCCCGGAACTTCCACTTCAGCGCTCCCAAGTCTCCGCTCAGTGTTTCTCCTGGGAGGGCTCATGTCCCTCAGTTACCAGTAGGGTTCCTGGGAGCTGGCAACAAGTTGTCTGCCGGTTTGCCCCACTGCACTGTATTGGCGCTCCACTGTTTAGTAAAGAAAAAGTGGCACAGCTGTAAGGAACCAGGACATAATCATGGAATGAATCCAGAAATGGCCTTTTCCCCAGCTTCCCTGCGACTTAGACATCACAGTGGTTTACATATGACACTAATTTTCTTAAATGTTATTTGAAGGGTTTTTAGACGTTATGTATATTAATTCATTGAGTGTTCATAGAATTAGAACTTTTATTTCCATTTCAGTCAGGAAACAGGCACTGAGAGGCTAAATATTTTGCCTGAGTTCTCAGAGTTAGTAAATGGCAGAGCCTGGATTTGAACCTAGGCAGAGTTCTATATATCCTTTCACTACCTTCCTATCCTACCTACAAGACAAATGTGTGTATTTTTTTTTTTTTTTGAGACAAAGTCTCACTTTGTTGCCCAGGCTAGAGTGAGTGCAGTGGCATCAGCCTAGCTCACAGCAACCTCAAACTCCTGGGCTCAAACAATCCTCCTGCCTCAGCTTCCTGAGTAGCTGGGACTACAGGCATGTGCCACCATGCCTGGCTAGTTTTTTCCATATATTAGTTGGCCAATTAATTTATTTCTATTTATAGTAGAGACAGGATCTCGCTCTTGCTCAGGGTGTTTCATACCCCTGACCTTGAGCAATCCGCCAGCCTCGGCCTCCCAGAGTGCTAGGATTACAGGCGTGAGCCACCGTGCCCAGCTAACAAATGTGTATTGTGTACTTACTTGGTGACTGGACTGTGCTAGCTCCAGAGCGGGGATACAAAGGTAAAGAAAACTTCTGACTGGCAGCACACCACACACACACACTGGACCCATGAGAAGATTAGGACTTCCTTTGCAGTATATTTTCCTGCATCATCTCTATGGGCAGGGGCTTAAGCAGCATCCCCCTCTTCCTTTCACTGTGGTTCATCCTTCCAGATGGCTCTACCCACCCAAGCAACCCAGACTATGAAGAGTCCGCTGAAAGCAGCAGTAGTGGTGGTTCCGAACTGGAGCCTTCTAGCCATCAGCTCTTCTGCTTAGAATACGAGGCAGACAGTGGAGAGGTCACATCAGTTATCGTGTATCAGGTACGCCTCATGGAAACAGCTGCAGTCTGAAGGTCTGGGGCTGTGGTAGAAATTACTGCTGGACCCTGAGCCACTGTTTTCCTCAGGGCCAGTGGGAAATGTCTGCTCCCCATGGGGGCACAGGACTGCTAGGCAATGCTTTTGAGCTCAACTCACTCCCATCACAAAATGATTCTCAGTGGAGGAACTGGGAGGGCTCTTGGCCTCCAATTGAGAATCACTATTACAGGGGACACCTGGGAAATGACAGGTACTGGCAAGAAGCCTTGAGCCTGGGAAATGACAAGTACTGGCAAGAACACTGTGAGAGTGTTGTCTGGGAATAGGGCAGGTCACCTTTCTGGAAGAGGCCAGGCCCTGAGCTTCCTGACTCTTCCTCCATGTAGGACGATGACCCAGGAAGGGTGAGTGAGGAGGTGTCAGCACACACGCCTCTGGAGCCACCCATGCGAGAGGCCCTCAAGTTGCGTATCCAGGAGGAGATTGCAAAGCGCCAGAGCCAACACTGACCAGATTGAAGGCATTCTCTCCAGGCTGGATTCACTGCGCTTAGAAGAATTCTGCCCAGGGAGCACACTCCTAGTCTGGGGGTACCAGGACCAGTTTGTTTGATCTTGAGACCCCCTGCTGCATCCACAAGGGTGTTATAGGACTACACCTGGCCCACCTTGCAGCCATTCTTTCTGATATGTTGGCCCATTGGCCCAGCCTAATATCCTGGAATTTTTTGAGAATTTTGTTTGGCTAACTTGGTGATCTGGGAACAGAGACTCCAGGGAGAGCCAGGGTTTCTGAAACCTCATGCCAACATGGTGCTTTCTCCCTGAGCGCATATACTTGGCTGCTGCTGTTCCAGCTGCTTGAACCATATTTGTTATTTTATGGTTCTTTTCGTTTGTGCTTCTGCTCATTTCCACCCATGTTTTCCTAGACCTTTTTTCCTTCTCTTTTTCTTTGGTTTTCCTTTCCCTCATCTTTTTGTCTCAGGAAGAATCCATCCCTCTCTACTCCTCTCCCCTTAACATGACTGTGTACCTCCAGCTGCTCAGGACCTTGGAGGTGATGGGGGTTCTGGGGATTTACTTTTCTAACAAGCTTTCCAAGTAATTCTGATACCAATAAAATGGGAGACCTTGGTTTTCAAGGCCTACTTGCAAGCATGTTTCCCTCCCCTTCCATGGCTTTTTCAAGTTCTTTTCAAGTTTCTTGCATGTTCTACTGCTTTGCACTGTCCAGATAGGAGAATTAGGCAGATGTCAGAGCTAAACTACAAGGATTTCTTTCTTTCTTTTGTTTTCTTTCTTTTTTCTTTTTTTTTTTTAAGAGACAGGGTTTCGCTATGTTGCCAGCCTGGATGTGTCTGGGCTCAAGTGATCCTCCTCCTTCAGACTTCCAGCTAGCTAGGACTTTAAACTGCAAGGATTTCTTGCAGCAAAACCTACCTTGGCTAGGGCTACAGAATTCCACCTTTGGACCTCATCTCTAGCTGTGAACAGACTGTTCTTTGCTCAAACTAAAGGCGAATTATCAAAACAAGCTTGGAACTAACTCCAGTTGTGAGATAACAGTGTTAAACATCCACCCAAAGGGAAATTCAACATTAGCAATAATTGCCCAATTGGAGTCCTAGTTCCAAAAAAAAAATGTCCTAAACAACACCCCAGAGGGAGTGACATGAGCCCGTCTCATTCTGCCCCCTCCACTGCCCCGTGCTTCTTTCCTATCTCCCAAAAGTATATAACTCAGCTCCTAAGATTAAAGACCCCCAGGAATACCACTGCTCTCACTCAGTGAACATTTTTTCTAATGCAGGGTTAGCTAAGGTCTGGAGACCAAAGACATCTGTGCACCAACGTTCTGAGGCACTTCAGTTTTCCCGCAGGTCACCCTGGCCTCGGTGACTTGAAACGTGGGGTTTAAGTAAGCCTGTGAGCACTGAGACCTCCTAAAACCAAAGCCACTGCCCTAGAGGTTTCTCCTCATCAGAGTCTTTAGACACCTGAGGGCACTGTTGGTGTGTACCCTGCACCCCTGAAAATCTACCCCCTCAGAAATGGGGCAAGGCAGCTACTTCAGCTATGCAATTAAAACAATGAGCCACAGCTCTCAGTGGCAGGGGAATGCTTTGATGCTGAGTGAGGTGGATAAGTTAGAAGGGCCTGGTTGTGAGGGCATCCAGGGACCCACAGAGTTGGCCCAGGGTTAAGTGCCTTAAACTTGCCAGTCCTGGGTTCTTTTCTTTGAAAGGAGAAAATCTTTGCCCTCTACCTACACAACTGGACTACAAGTGCCTTTTGACTTCTAATGGTAACTAGCCCCCAAAGCTTCCTGGGCCAAGGAGGCTCTGCCAAACTATACCCTCCTCCCCCTGCTTCTCCCTGCAGGTCAGAGGACCAGTCAGCCTTTCTAGTCTTCCAGCTCTTTAACTGATCTTATAACTTGGAATATAGGATTTCACTGGACGTCTTTGGCTTCTTAGTCTAGAAATACTTTTTTGGGGTTGTCTTCTCACAGCTGGATCACCTATTTCCTGTTTTTGTGGAGACAGTCTCACTCTGTTGCCCTGAGTAGAGTGCAGTGGCATCATTGTAGCTTGCTGCAACCTCCAACTCCTGGGCTCAAGCAATCCTGCCTCAGCCTCCCGAGTAGCTGGGACTACAGGCACGTGCTACAATGCCCAGCTAATTTTTCTAATTTTGGTAGAGACAGGGTCTCTTGCTCAGATTAGTTTCAAACTCCTGACTTCAAGTGATCCTCTCACCTTGGCCTCCCAGAGTGCTAGGAGCCACTGTACTAGTCATGGATCACCTATTTCCTGGTTTTATCATATAGTTTAGAAGACAAGAAGAGGAAGTGGGGGGCATGGCACCTGAAATTTTAGCCTCAATTCCTGTTTCCTGGGAAGGGAAGAGGTAAAAGGAAGGCAGCATTTAGTATGTACCTATTATTTCCTGTTACGTGTGTATTATATAATCCTCACAAAGACCTCAGGTAGGAGATTGATGGAAACTCCTTGCTTTTAAACTTTTTTTTTTCCTTGAAGAACTTTGCTTATCTAGTGTATATAAAATATTTTCCGCTGGGCATGGTAGCTCACAGCTCATGCCTATAATGCTGTCATTTTGGGAGGCCAAGGTAGGAGGATTGCTTGAGCCCAGGAGTTTGAGACCAGTCTGGGCAACATAGCCAGACCCCATCTCCACAAAAAAAAAAAAAATTAGCCTGGCTCAGTGGTGCACACCTATAGTCCCAACTACTTGGGAGGCTGAGGCAGGAGGATCATTTGAGCCCAGGAGTTTGAGATTGTAGCGAGCTATGACTGGGGAATTGCACTCCAGCCTGGGCAACAAAGCTAGACTGTCTCAAAAAAAAAAGTTTTTTTTCCCCACACAAGAAAACATCTAATTCTTAGCCAGTCTGTGCTTAACTAATTGTGCAATATGACTATAGAAAGCACTAAACCTTGTACTTCTATTAAAAGGTGGTCTTCAGAGCTGGCCTATTGGAGATGATGCTGCCATTTCTCCAGGCATACCTGAAGTGCCTCTGTGAGGATGGTTCTTGGGCAGTTAACAGCTGTACGGCTCAGCCTCATTGCTTATTACCACCCCTCTGGGGTCCAGGGTGGTACTATCCAATTTATTCACCAGACCTGCCTCCCAGTGTCTTTCACCTTTTTCAAAAAATAGAGCTTTACCATCAGGGAGCATGTTGCAGAACATTTCCCACAAACGTCCCAAAGAGGACCGTCCTGTGCTATTTTGTGTGCAGTAGCAACGGTGTTGGGCTAAGTGGAACTTTCTAGCAGACTGCTTCAGAATCGACACTCATTTGACTAGATACTTTCTTGGCTATCTTTTATTTTTATTTCTTTATATATTTTTTGAGACAGTCTCACTCTGTTGCCCAGGCAGGCTAGAGTGCCGTTCCATCAGCCTAGCTCACAGCAACCTCAGACTCCTGGGCTCAAGCAATCCTACTGCCTCAGTCTCCCGAGTAGCTGGGACTACAGGCATGTACCACCATGCCCGTCTAATTTTTTCTATATAGTTTTAGTTGGCAAATTAATTTCTTTCTATTTGTAGTAGAGACGTGGTCTCTCTTGCTCAGGCTGGTCTTGAACTCCTGACCTTGAGCGTCCACCGCCTAGGGTTACAGGCATGAGCCACCATGCCCAGCCTCTTGGCTATCTTTTAAAAAGATAGCCTGATAGGTAGATCTCATGGCTATTCAGTATGGAGTGTTCTTCACTCACTGAGGTTAAACCTGTATTTTAAGGTTTTTGTGGTTCCTGGGCCACAATGGGTGATATTACTGATAGAAGGAAGCTGGGTTTGCAGGGGCTTTGAGGTGTGCAAGAGTAAACACTAAAGCTTGAGTTGTAGCCAGTTGGCAAGCATGGAAGTCTTTGAAGAATGTAACACAGGAAAAGAATATAAAACTTTTTATACCAAATGAGAGTAGGAGCCTCTGGAGCCTGGGCCAGCCAGTGGGTCCAATACGGGCAATAACAAATGCTTTTCCTTAAGAACCTCTCTGGAAGGGACATTCCATCTCCCTAGTCCACTCTGAGGGTCATTGCCAACTAGAGATTAGCCCTTGCTGTGGGGCAAAGCCTTTTGGGGTGGTGAGTACCCAACCTGCTGTGCATTTGACAAGACCTGTAGATTGTTGGGTAGTGGATCCTTAGGAGGCTCACAAATTTAAATGAGGCCTTTGTGTGCAGAAAGAGGAATGAGGACAGATTACCTTCCTACCTCTAGGCGTTTGGGGAGAATCACCATGGAATGTTGACAATTATTTAAAATATCTTAAGTTCCCTCTTTGAATTTGAGTCCTGTCCCTGAGGAATCAGATGGCCAAGAAGCCAGAGGCACCCACCCCAAATTTCCCCAGGAGTTGGAGTGATGCTAGACATGAAAACCTGAGTAAATAGCTCCCTCTGCCTTCTTGGAACCAACAGAATGAGGTTGTACCGGTTATGTTGTGGTGATAAATGTATAAAAAGCAATACGTTCTGTTTCTTAAATTTCCAATGTTTCTGCAGTGTGGATGAATAAAATGGAGTATGCAAATTCTTTGAAAACCATAGAAGGATGGTATTTTTCAAATACAGTATTTCTTTTTAACAAAATAAACTTACTTTTACAGAGTGTTTTTGCCAAGAGTTGTGAAATCACTTGTGTACCTGGGGAAGTGGAGGTTAAATGCCTGCCCTGAAGTCATTCCACCACAGAATCAGCACTGGAAATCTCATCTCTTGTTTTGCCTATTTTAAGAACTATCCTGGTTGGAGCATAACAACTAAGACTCACGTAGCATTAGAGTTGGAAGGGATTTTTAAAGACTTCTGGTCCCTACTTCTTACCTCATACACAATTCCCCACTACCCATGAAAAGCCCTTCTGTCATAGGGAGCTCTATCCTGGGGTAATTCTACTTTAGGAACTATTCGGATTGTCATATTAAGCCAAAAGCTGCCTCATGACACAGCTCTGAAGTGAGTATGCCTCGCCCCTACTTCATGTTAGAACCACCAATTTGGAAGCTAAGTAGTCTTTCAGCCCTTCACAGTGATTGGATATGGACTCAAACCCAGCTCAGGAGGATATAGTAAGTGTTGATTAAGAATCACAAAGCTTCCAATGAGGGATTGGGCAGATGAGAACTAGGCACCTGCTCCAATGGGAACGCAGATGAGCAGGAATACAGTGCCTCTGTGTGAATTAGAGACACCCCTTTGTCCTGGGGCACAGAGCTTGGCAGCAAAAGGTGGGCTGGACTTTATCCCCTACTCGTCCATTCAGCTGGGTATGCTTGTACAGGGATCACTGCAGAGTCATACTTCTTGGTCCTGTTTCAACACTTGTCTTCATGTGATTTTGAAAAGAGCTCTCCAACAGGTTTCCTGTTTCCATTTCTACCTTCCACTGGGTCCAAAAAGGTTTCTTCCTCTTCAAGCAATTGTGCAGTTTATTCTGTTCCATTTCTCCACAGTACAGGGCCCTGTTTTTGTACATAACTTTGCTTCACCAACGTTGCCGAACTTCGGCTCCTGCCAGCCTGGGACCATGTACCATCATTGATCTGCCCAAGTGCCCCAAACAGTTGCTGGGGCTGCCTTTTAGAGCATCTTGCATACCTCTGGCATTTGAAAAGAAGTATTCCTGCCCTTTTTATTGTGAAAAGAATGTCCAGGAGTGCACTCTTAGCCTGTAAGTTTTGGTGAAGCTGTGGCTAACTTATTCTCACACTATCTTGTTTCTTTTTCCCAGATTCTTCTGGGTCTCTCACCTTCCTCTCTTCTTGGCTTACAAACACCTGGCCATGTTAAATCTTACCTACACTGACACTTACATATGTCTATTTAGATGGATATCCTCTGCCGTCTTAGTTTAAGAGTTGAGCATTCAGGAAACACGTCTTGGACACGGTGACTTCTGGCAAGTACACTGTGTACTTGTACGCCCGAAAATAAAAAGTATCTGATGAAAGCAGCCCTCCTCCAGGGTGTACTGAGCTGGGAGAAGCATAAGCCAAATTCAAGGCTCTTGGATTTCTTAGGGAATAGCCAAGGCTTTGTGCCCGCTTCTCTGCAGACCCACCTCACGCCTTGGACAGAGGCTGGCATGGGGCGCCCCGCTGAACGAACTTCCCCGAAGTCTCGCTGTTGGCCAGTCCAACCTGGAAAATGCGCGGCGGTAGAGGGAGGCTTCCTCCAGCCACGTGCACGATGACAATCCCAGGTAGAGCTGGAAGGCTGGCTGGCCTGGTCCCGAGGTCCCCGCCTCCCAGCGTTTCCCCTGCGGGAACGGGCTAGACAGAACCTCTTGGCATCTCGGTGTCAGAGCTGTCCCCAGGCCACAGCCCTGGGCGCCCAGGTCCTCCGAAGTTGGGACACCGCCCACCTCTCCCCGTGACGCGGGCGCGGGGGCTCGGGAGTTGTAGTCTCGGGCGGGGCGCGGGCGCCGGGGCTGGGGCTGCGCAGACTTCACGTCCCGGCGGGCGGCGCGGCGCGGCCTGGGGCCGCCAGGGGCGGGGCCGCTCGGCCCTTTAAACCTTTCAGGGCTGCTCCGAGGGCCGCAGCCGGAGACAGCGCCACGAGGGGGCTGAACAGGGCGCGGCGGCGGCAGGGCGCTCCGGGAGGTGAGTGCTGGGCTCCTTCCTTTCCCCGGGGCCTCCAGGGATCACCTGGGAAGGCTCTTGTCTCGGGTCCCGGGGGGGTCGCCGGCCGCGGCTTCTGCCCAAGCAGAGGGTCCCCCGCGCCCACGCGAGCGGCGGCCGAGCCGGGCTTCCCGCCGTGAACCCGCCCCCTGCCCGGGGCGCCTGTGGTCAGGTGGTTGCCTGCGCGCCGCCGCTCCACCGGGCCGCACACCCTTCCAGCCTGTCCTTGGCTTGGCCCCCTTGATTGTCCAGTCCTCCCAGCCCTGGTCCCTCAAGCGATAGAGGGTGACTCCCTCTCCAGCCCGCCTGAGTCTCAGCACGCCGGCGGCACCTGGGTTGACCGCAGAGGCTCCCAATGGATGCCAGAGGGTGTCCACGTTCAAGCGGGGGCTCAGCCCAAAGTTTGGACGCTCAAAGACCGAACAGACCCAACGGGAGCTCTGGGCGAGGTGTTGACCGCCTCCCCCTCCTCCTCCTTTGGCCAGTCACCCGACCCTGCACTTTGATCTCTCTCCACAAGGCCAGGGCAGCTGATGGTTGTGGCTGAAATATCTCAAGGTAGCCGGTCCGCCCCCTCTTCCCCACCTACCTCTTGTCCTCCCCCCCACACCACCACCACCCTGGCTCCCCTCCCTCATGACCGCCTGGATCCTCCTTCCTGTCAGCCTGTCAGCATTCTCCATCACTGGCATATGGACTGTGTGAGTAAGGGGCTGGGAGCAACAGGAGTTTGATGGCACACACAAAGCCCCTTGTCCTGTCGTGGGCTCCAGGGTAGTACCCAGGGCCACTCTGGATGTCTCCAAAGCCTGGCCTGGTGCCTGGGCACACAGCACCTTGGGACAAGCTGGCACTACTGCTGTCCAGCAGGGTGGCCCTGACAGATTTCTAGCCAGGGCAACTTCCAGAGGGCCTCTAGTTGTGGGCTGCGTTCCAGGTTCTGGTGTGGCATCATGCCTCAGGGACAACCCAACTGGAGTCCTCAGTAAGGACAATTAGGCTGAATGGGGCTAGAAATCAAGGTGGAAGAGAAAAGTCAGTGGGGGGTGGCTGGGCCAGGAGGGGAATGGGGGCAGAGTGACAGTTCTGCTCCCACAGGTATGCCATGGCCGTGATGAACCACCATGTGTGCCCCGTGGAGAACTGGTATGGAGCACTCCGCAGACAGCTTCAGTATAAAGATCCCTTTACCTTTGTCCCCTCTTGGGCCCACGGCTGCCAAGAGCCAGACAGAAAGCCTGGGCCTCACTGCTCATCTCTAACAGCGGTACCCAGGCATGGCTTCATGCCCACTTCCCACCATCCTTTGCCCCTTGGCCTTCTGTTTCAGGCAGGCCCTGGGGAGTGGGTTCTTCTGCCCCTGCTGGGCAGGTCTGGGAGAGGGTCCTCTTTGAGGCCTGAGACTACAGGCCAAAGGCCTGGGGACAGCCCCTTCCCTTCGTCCACTCCCTGTCCTGCCTGCCAGGTCCTACAACGAGTCTTGCTCTCCTGACCCTGCTGAGCAAGGGGGCCCCAAGGCCTGCTGCACCTTGGATGATGTCCCTCTCATCAGGTAAGGGCTGGACATTGGGCAGATCAGTGAGACCCAAGGCCCTCCCAGACCCCCAGACAGCCCCTCAAGCAAAAATGTGCCCTTCTGTCTCAGGGAATAACTACTCTAAGAGCCACTTACCATGCACTGGGCTCTGCTGAGTGCTTTATATGCATAGTCTCTTCTCATCCTCCCAGCATCGAGGCAGCTATTGTCTTCACCATTTTCTAGGTAAGGAAACTGAGGCTCGGGGTTGTTATTTATGTGGGGCACACAGCTAATAAGTGGAGGCACCCAAATTTACGCTCAAGGCCTCAGATTGCCCAGCCCAAGTTCTGACTCAAGGATAGCCAGACCAGTGGCAGGCCTCAGCAAGGCTGCTCAGGGCTGGCTGAGCACTCCTGGGCACTCCCTTCTCACACACAAGAGCTCTGCTTTGTGGGCTCAGCCTAGAGCCAGTTGTACATGAGGGACACGGGCCCTTGGCATACATGGCAGCTTGGCTGCTAAGGAGCAAGCACAGAGAATGCAGGGGAGAACCAATGGGCTGGAACGGGGGCCCTCTGGTGTTCCCGCTCCCTCACTCTGTCCTCGCCCCTCCTTAGCAAGTGCGGCACATATCCCCCAGAGAGCTGCCTCTTCAGCCTCATTGGCAACGTGGGTGCTTTCATGGGTGAGTTGTACTCTTAGCTCTAACTTGCCAGCCCAGCCTCCCTCCCCAGAAAGGCCCAGAAATCCCTTGCTTATCACAGCCCTCCCCATCAAGGGTTAAGGCAGAGGGGCAACTTCTCTCCAGTTCCTTGAAGGCCAAAGGCTGACTCCCACACAGCCACCCTGCTGGCCAGAGCCTGAGGAAAACCAGTTCACCACCTGCCTGCCCCTTCCCACCCTCAGAAGGGACAGCAGCACCCTGACGGGCGGGGCTGGGCCTGGAAGGAGGCTGCGGGTGCTGGCCCCAGCAATGCTGTCCTCCCCCAGTGGCCCTGATCTGCCTCCTGCGCTACGGGCAGCTCCTGGAGCAGAGTCGACACTCGTGGGTTAACAAGACAGCACTCATCACAGGCTGCACCAACGCTGCGGGCCTCGTGGTGGTCGGCAACTTTCAGGTGCCTCCCCCCCCCCCAACCCTGAACTTTCACCTAAGAAGGCCTGGAGAGACAGGAGGGAAAGGAGGGAGGAGAGGGAAGGGAAGAGACTTGATGAAGGGCTGGAGGGGTGGGGCCACTTCACAGATTAGCCCCTCTCTGGGCCCAGGTGGATCATGCCAAGTCTCTGCACTACATTGGAACTGGCGTGGCCTTCTCTGCGGGGCTGCTCTTTGTCTGCCTGCACTGTGCCCTCTCCTACCATGGGGCCACTGCCCCCCTGGACCTGGCTGTGGCCTACCTGCGATGTGTGCTGGCTGTCATCGCCTTCGTCAGCTTGGTCCTCAGTATCCTTCCAGGACCAGGCAGTCAGAAAGTCAACCTCTAGCTCAGCTCTCTCCCACCCAAGGGGGGGTGGCTACATTCCAGGTAACACTGCCATGTGCTGTGCCCTCTCCTCGGGAGGTGAGGCCTGGAGTTTTGTCCCAGCTTAGTTACAGTCTGTGACTGCCAATGGGGTGTTGCCAGGTGTCCACACATCCTACTGAACATTTCCTTAGCCTGATTTCAGGTGGTGTCTTCTTCGTCCATGAGAGTTCTCAGCTGCAGCATGGGGCAGCCCTGTGCGAGTGGGTGTTTGTCATCGATATCCTCATTTTCTATGGCACCTTTAGCTACGAGTTTGGGGCAATCTCCTCAGACACACTGGTTGCTGCACTGCAGCCTGCCCCTGGCCGGGCCTGCAAATCCTCTGGGAGCAGCAGCACCTCCACCCACCTCAACTGTGCCCCCGAGAGCATCGCCATGATCTGAGGTCTGGGGAGGGTGGCTGGCCCAGCCTCCGCAGAACTCCATACCATGCCACACCATATCTTTGCATTTATTTTGTACCAAAAACAATTTGAGAAAGTGTTCTGTTGGGATCTGGGCTTCCTCGCTCCCGGAGAAGTGGCCATCCCACATCCACCTGTGCCATAGAGGAGCAGGACCTGCCAGCTACTACAGCTGCACTACCTGCTTCCCCACCCCACAGTGTTGTTTTGTGTTTAAAGGTCACCTGTCCTCACTCACCCAGCCAGCCCTTCAGGTGCCTTCTACTCCCAGTGCAAGAGCCAGACCACTGGGGTTTCCTGCTGTAGGAATTGGGGGGCTGGGAACAGCAGGGGGGAAGTCTGGTGAGGAGGGCAGTGAGCATGCCTTAGTCTGTATGGTAAGGCCCACTCTGGGCCCAATGAGCTGCACTGGGATTTCTTCACTCTGCCCCTCACTTCCTTTAGGGCAAATAACACAGCAGAACCACATGGGTATTTTAGTACTTTTTTTTATATCTATTAAAAGAATTCTAATTTGCATGTTTGTAGTCTGTTCTGGAGAGTTAGGGAGGGCCTGATCCAGGACTGCCTTCCCTAAGCAAAGGGTAGAAGGAAGCCCCTGACCCCTAGGAGAGTCCCAAGTGCCTGCTGCTTTTAAGAGCAAGGCCATGGGAAACAAAGGATGCCAAGTGCTATCTAAATACCCCTTAGGGGCTTGAAATCCTTTCTGGGCCTCTAGAGGACTGACCTGATCTGACAGTCTCACACTTCCTTTCCCAACTAAAGAGTCCGGTTTGAACTTTGACTCCTTGTAAGAGATGTTGAGTGGGAGGAGGTGAAGACAGAGAACAACTTTATTTATTTTTTTGAGACAGAGTCTTACTCTGTTGCCCAGGATAGAGTACTGTGGCGTTAGCCTAGCTCACAGCAACCTCAAACTCCTGGACTCAAGTGATCCTCCTGCCTCAGTCTCCCGAGTAGCCGGGACTACAGGCACGTGCCACCATGCCCGGCTAATTTTTTCTATATATTTTTAGTTGACCAATTAATTTTTCTATTTTTAGTAGAGACAGGGTCTTGCTCTTGCTCGGGCTGGTTTTGAACTCCTGACCTTAAGTGATCCTCCCACCTTGGCCTCCCAGAGTGCTAGGATTACAGGCGTGAGCCACTGTGCCCGGCCTCAGAAAATAACTTTAAAATGTTAAAAGCAGTTTTCTCAATGGTGTTAAAGAAAACCCCTGGGATATCAACATCTACTAAAGGTACCAAAGTTAACTATAAATTGCAGAGGGAGGAGGATGCGGGCTAAGTTTATCAGCTTTAAGTAGCTACTGGGTGCCGGACCCTGACACATTTTTACCTTCCAACCATGAACACACAGATCCAAGCCCTAGCTGGCCCAGTGGTCCAGTTCTTTACCTGTGCCCCACTGCCCTGAGTCCAGATGGGCCAGCAGGAAGGGAAACACCACCTGATGCTTTCTCCGGTTTCAAGGACCACTTTTCCCAATAGCCGTAGGGACCTGGTTGAGGATGCAGAGCCCCTGCCCAGGCCTGTGAGCAATGTAGCCTTCAGGATGAGTACAGAAACCTTTAATGAGGACTCAAGGTGCAGGAGGAAGACAGAGGGCCAGCAGTCGGCCCCAGCCTCCTCACGTGTACATGGCTCCATGGAGGTTCTCCAGTCGGTGCTGCTGCTGCTGCTTTCGAGCCTGGAGGAAAAAGAACACGCTGGGTAGGGGCCAAAGCTGAAGGCTTGTTGGTGAGGGGGTGGAGCAGCTGTCATGGGGGTGGCTCTCACTGTTTTCATGCCTCTAACATCTGTATTGCTGAGGCTGTTGCCCCTCACCAAAGTCACTAGGAAGGTGGCTAGAGCCACGGATTCTCAAACCAACCCAACCTGCTGAGGTGGGAAATCAGAGCAGGGACAAGGCCAAAGGAGCCCATTAAGACCCCCTCCACTTAACCACCAGCCCCTACCTTATCTCGTCTGTGTTCCTCGTAAGTGTCATCATCAGTGGGCAGCTCATGGCGACACAGGGGGCAGGAATTTGTCTGGGAAAAGTAGGGCAGTGTTCCAGCCCCGGTCTAGTATTCATCAGCTAATAACCCTGCCCCACTCCAATTCCCACCATCCGATCCCCCGGCAATCCACAATCAGAAAAAACTTGAGAACTGGGCCCAGGGAAGGGTAAAGACTAGAAGAAGGAAAGCAGTACCTTGCTTAGCCAGGGCAGAATGCAGTTGGAATGGAAGAGGTGATGGCAAGGCATCTCAATGGCAGTCTCCTCCTCCTCAAATTCCAAAAGACACACGGGGCACTTGAGCTCTTTAGGAGGGAGTGCTGATCAGGAGAGGTGCTATAGACCCCACCTCCCAGCTCCCACTCCTGAAGAACACTCTTGCCCCAACCTGGCCTGGAAAACTGATGGGCCAGACCACAGTCTTGATTAAGGAAGGAGTGGTTCTGGCAGACCTGCCCCAAACAGCAGAAGAAATTAGTGTCCTCACCAGCCTGAGAGCCTCTGATGACTATCCTAGGGAGGTTCTCTACCGCGGTCTTCGCAGCAGGTGGGGGCAGGTGGTGATCCCAATCTACTACTAATCCCAAGTCTTCAAAGTCCATACTATGGAAAAGTGACCTGGAGAGGAGGATGCAAGGTCAGAACCAAGGAAAACCATACTTTCTCTTTGCCCCCATAATCCACTGGCATTAACAAATAAATACCCTGCCCAACTAGTACTAATAGCTACCTTCAGTGGTTAGTAGATGCTCACTAGATAAGAAAGCATAGTGGGAAATGGTTTACAGGTGCTATCAGACAACCCCAGCAGAATGTTTATTCTCATTTTACACATGAGGCAAAACACTCGAGGAGTTACTCAGGCCACACAGAATGATCTGGTAGAGCCAGATTCCAAGTCGGCAGTGTGGGGCTCCCATGCCTGGAGAGTTCCTAACCAATATACCGACTCACACGCACACAGCCCCTATCCTCCCTCATGCCCCACCTTCTCCGTGCCTCCCGGAGCCTGCGGCCCTCCCGCCCCGCCCCCTCCCCGCTCTCCTGCCCCACCGCTCTCCAGCTCTAGTCTTGCCCACAATCCCTTTACCTGGACCCGCCCACGGACCAAAAAATCGACGTGCACACCCCTTTCCCCTCAATCTCGCCGCCCGGACTAACACTCTAGATTATTCATTGGTTCTTCCCGGAATCTGCCGCCCCAGCTACTCTGCCTTCTCCAGCCAGCCCCAGCCCCTGCTGCCTGAGCCTCATCCTCAAGCCTCGCGCACTCACCTTGCAAGCTCCAGCAGCCTGCCGGCTCGGGTCTCTTGCTCGGAATCCAAAGGCTCGCAGTCGTGTTCATCGAAATAGGACGCCATGGCTGCCGGGTGGTCTGACACAGCGCTCGGATCCAGCTCGATTGGGGCCTCGCGGCGCTGACCAATAAACTAGCGAGCTGAGAGAGGATGGCCAATCAGATTGTCCGAGGGACGGGCATAGGGCCTCGTTAAAGGTGCAGAAAGCGGAAGTAGTAATTCGACCCTCTTTCATTGGCTGGAATAGGTCAGGTGACCAAAGGCTAAAGCCAATGACAGAAGCCAACGCTAGTCAGAAAACATTTGTTTGGGAATCCAAGCCAAGAGGAAATTCCCGGGAGTTTCTTGCCTGCCAGTGTCCGTAGTTCCCTGAAAAGCCAAGTATGTGGGCTGCAAGGGTCTTCGGTCTGCCCTGAGTCCCAGAGGGCCTAGGCAGTGCGGACGCTAGGGGCCTCCCAGAGAGAGGAAGGCGCTGGCTCAGGGCTCTGGGTTCCGCGAGTGTGGAGTTGGGCGCTTCCCGCTGCTCTGCCAAGCTCCCGCCGGGCTCTTCTGCCCCGCCGCGTTCTAGTTGGCTCAGGAGTTTGCGCCTGATTCCTCCCCGACCCCCGAAACAAAATTGCTGCGCATTTCTTACGTGTTAGGCATAATAACAATGGAACAAACTTCCTCAACCTAGAGAGGGAAAGTCTCCGACACAGAACCTGGGACCTCACTGCTCATGAGACTGTGTGACCTTCAGCCCATTGCTCAACCTCATTCCTAGCCAACAAGTGGCTTGAACTAAATAAATGGTTTGCATCCCTGGCATCACGAATCCCTTGAGGATAGAAGAGGCAGGAGGAACTTTAGAAACAATACCCCAATGTCTGATACCCTTGAAGACTCTAGGTGGGGCCTGGGCAATGGCATTTGTATAAGTTCTGCTGGTGATTCTAATATGAGGTAGGTTTAAGAACCACTGCACTCAATGATTGGGATGATAGTTACTATTTAGCATCTATAACTATTACACTGATCGATATTTTACACCCAGTATCAGTAATCCTCACAACAGTTCTGGGAACTCAGCATCATTATGTCCTTTTTAAATATGTAAAACTTGAGTCTCAGAAGTGGCTTGTCCAAATTCACGCAGCTTAAGTGATGTTGCAGGTACCTTACCAGCCTCAGGGACACGTGCTTTCCTCTGTTTTTCCCAGGAAAGGAAGATGGTAATGAACCCAGTGAAAGTAACAAGCTCTGTAATGGTAAAGTAACACACAACTCTTAGGGCTTGTTCTTGTTTGTCAGTAGCCCTCACCCTACCCAGCAAGGAATTGCATTTTTTTTACACACTTGACCCTGAATTCCCCTCACCACCCACATTTGAGTTTCAGCTGTAGTTAAGGTACTCAGACAGAGGGCCTGTTTCCATGATCTTGGTGTGGCCTTCTTTCCTTCTTCCATGCCTTTGCCCAGTGATCTTTGCTGTGGCCCAGAAGGCACTGCCTGCCTGCTTGGCCCTGTGTGATCCTGGAGCTTTGAAAAGCCTGAATTCTTTCTTACAGGGCAAACTCCAGGCCATCCTTTGTGACCCTACATTACAGCACCATAGAAGCCCTTCCTGTTTTTACTGCCACTCACTTCATCTGTAGTCTGGTGTAAAGCTTGAGGAAGAACATGAGTGCAGAAATTGGGGAGGGGGAAGTGTTCAGAGGGGAAATTATCTATATAAAGGGGAGAGCCTCATGAAACATTTTTTGAAGTGCTTTCATCTTTGTCATCCCATCTAGAGTCTCACTGGTCCTCTGAGATGTCAAGATGTCAGAAAAATAACAGATTTCATTGTCAGGGAATCACCCTCAGGGGAGGAAGACTGGTTCAAGGGTCTGGTTTGGGGGCTGTTGTGTCCTTGTACCCACACTCCAGAAAGGTCTATCTGATTAGGGTATCAAGTAGGGGAGGGAGTGGAAGAGGCCACTTCCAGGGGGTGAAGTTCTTTGGGTGGTGAGCTTTCTAAGCAACCCCAGGGGTGGAGGCAGAGTGGGATTAACCAATGTAGGGACCTTCAGACACACATGCACACACATACACACACCGGCTTTTAATCAAACAGCAGCTTTTACTGAGCTCCAGGTGGGGCTGGCCTGGGATGGCCGATATAGCAGGCTGCCCTCAAGGGCCAGTCTGTGGCATAATAGGAGATGCAGAGGTGCACACATCAGGGCTGTCTTTCAGTGCTCACTGGGGTGGCTCAGACGGAGCAAACACCAGGGTTCTCTGGAAACCAGAAAAGGCCAGTGCCACCATTCAGCCCAGCTGAGTCAGTCCCCATGCCCTGAGGCAGTGCCTGCATCCTGGGCTTGTGGGGCACTACTGTTCTCACTGCTCTGTGGGAGAAAGATGGCCAGCAACAAAATCAGGATGATGAGCAGGCCACCACCCACCACCAGCCCCAAGTAGATCCGGCAACGGGTATTCTCCCAGCGCTTCTTCTGGGCCAGGGTCTTGGTTGTTTTGCTGAAGGCTGAGCTCTGTGGACACCCGCAAACACAGGGTGAGAGTTAGCTGGCTCCCCACTGGCCTCAGAGCCAGTTCCTCCCAACCCTGCCCTAGCAAGGCCTAGTCTTCTCCTGCCTCCTCTCCATCCAATCTGCTCTCTTACGCCACACTGTATACCCTGGGATCCTTCCAGCCCAAATCTTGGTCTCAGATACTGGTGTAGCCCTTGACTTTAAGTCCTAGCTTCTCACCCCTGTTAATAATGCCAGTCCTCTACCTTTAGTAAGGTCCATGGCTTCAAACCAAGGACTTCTTACTCAGTGAAGCCTACCGTTGCCTTTCTAGGATACGGTGCCTCAGGAAACCCGGAAGTCCCACACTGGCCTTCAAGAAGGTCCAGCCCCTCCCAGGACCCAGAAACCCTGAGCTCAGCCTAAGAGCTCCCTCTGAGGGCTTTGCCAAGCCTCATTGGCCCTCTGCCTGTTGCCCTCCCCCACCTCGCCCCTCCCCTGGCCTCATACCATATCCAGGAGTTGGTCTGAACGCTGCTCCAGCTCCGCCAGCTTCCCATCACGCTCCAGGACCTTGTCAAAATTGTTGAGCATGATTTCCGTCACCTCATTCGCCTGCTGCTGGCACCGCTCCAACTCTTTCCCTGCCTGGGCACCAAGCCTAAGGTCAGGGCAGTGTGAGACCCCCACCTGGCCCTGAGACCTAGAAGCCCCATTTCCCGACTGTGTGTGGGGACAGTGTGTAACAGCATCCTTCATGTAAGGCAGTGGTCCCTAACCTTTGTGTTGGCACCAGGGATTGGTTTCATAGAAGACAATTTTTCCACCAGGGGTGAGGGGGGTGGGGGGAGCAGGCAGAGCTCAGGCGGTGATGTGAGTGATGGGGAGCAGCTGTAAATACAGATGAAGCTTTGCTCATTTGCTTGCCCACCACTCACCTCCTGCTGTGCAGCCCGATTCCTCACGAGCCACAGACTGTACCAGTCCAGTGGCCCAGGAGTTGGGAACCACGGATGGAAGGGATGGAAGGGTATGATGTGTGTGGAGTGAAAGGCTGCCTCCTAGGTGAGTGTGACACAGCTTTGGGCTCACAGATGCTTCCCCTTGCCCATCAAGGCAGGCCTAGGTCAGACTTGGCTTTAAGCATCTCCGCTTCCCCTAAGCCACCTTGGGAGAGACTCTCCCAGGACTCCACCCTCCCACAAAGCAGACATTTTGCTCACTTGCTCCAAAATAGCCTCCAACCCATGCCTACCTGCCCTAAGGCTTCCCACTGACCTAAGGAGGCAGCAAAGAACAGGGAACCAAGCTACTTGTCTAGAAGCTAGACAGGGAGGAGATCCACCCCACAGGAATGGAAAGGCAATTTTGTGTTTGTGTTTTTGTTTTTTTAAGAGATAGTCATGATGTGTCACCCAGGCTGGAGTGCAGTGGCATGATCATAGCTCACTGCAGCCTCAAACTCCTTGGGCTCAAGTGATCCTCCCACCTCAGCCTTTCAAGTAGAATTTCTTTCTTTCTTTTTTTTTTTTTGAGACAGTCTCACTTTGTTGCCCAGGTTAGAGTGAGTGCTGTGGCATCAGCCTAGCTCATAGCAACCTCAAATTCCTGGGCTTAAGCGATCCTTTTTTTTTTTTTTTTTTTTGTGAGACAGTCTCGCCTTGTTGCCCAGGCTAGAGTGAGTGCCGTGGCATCAGCCTAGCTCACAGCAACCTCAAACTCCTGGGCTCAAGCAATCCTGCTGCCTCAGCCTCCCAAGTAGCTGGAACTACAGGCATGCGCCACCATGCCCGGCTAATTTTTTCTATATATATTAGTTGGTCAATTAATTTCTATTTTTAGTAGAGACGGGGTCTCGCTCTTGCTCAGGCTGGTTTGGAACTCCTGACCTCGAGCAATCCACCCACCTTGGCCTCCCAGAGTGCTAGGATTACAGGCGTGAGCCACGGCGCCCAGCCTCGTTTTTTTTTAGTTTTTTTTTTCTTTTCATGTCATCCTTGCTCAGGGGCCATGCTAATCTTCTCTGTGTCATTCCAATTTTAGTATATGTGCTGCTGAAACAAGCACAATTTCTTTTTTAATTTTTTGTAGAGATAGGGTCTTGCTATATTGTCCAGGCTGGTCTCAAACTCCTGGCCTCAAGCTATCCTCCCACCTCCTGAGTAGCTGGGACTACAGGTGTGAACCACCCTTCCTGGCCTAGAAAGGTAATTTTGGACCAGAACGTCATAGTTTCTGCCTAACACCCTCTCCCTAACGGAGAAGCTCTGATGGATCTCCCTCCTCAGGCTTCTGACCGGTCAGGCCAGTTCTGCCTCCTGGCCTGACCGCACTCTCTGAATCAGGGCCCCAAGTTCCCTCTCTGCCTGGGAGCCTCAGCTATCCTGGCTCCTGGCCTCCCACCTCTTAGTCAGCCAGGGTCTTCACTGGAGTCCAATGCACAAAGATGAGACCAAGCCTTGGATTTCCCAGTCTGGCAGCAGTCTCACCTAACAAACCCCAACTCATTTCAGAGGACTGGAAAGGGAGGTATAGGGTCCAAGCTGAGGGAGGTTGAGAGGACAGGGGGAGAGAGAGAAAGACTGGGTCATGAACAAGAAAGGCACTGGGCCTTGGGTACATGTGATAGAAAAACTCAGAGCAGGAGGCCTGGGCATGAGCTGGAGACCCAGGGCAGGTGCAGGAACATTTCACGGAGATGAATACCAGCAGATTAGTAAACCACAGCAACTCCCTCCTCTCAGCCTGCTCTCCCACAGCCCAGCCCTGTTCCCATCTCCTCGGAGAAGAGGCCAAGCTTCCTTTCCTGCCAGCCCACATCACCCATTGTCTGCAGCAAACATTTTGGCACTTGCCTGAATTCCACTTAAAACCAGAAAACATAAGTTTTGAAAGGGATCCGGTGGTAACAGAGGACCACCTCCTACTCAGGCAAGAATCCTCCTTCAGGCCTCTTGCAGCTGCCTTGCACACAAGCTCCAAACATTCCCAGGATATGAGTCCTATCTCCCCAACCCGACCACAAGCTCCCAAAGGGAGGGTGGGGATCAGTGCCCTCCCTCCCTCCACCACTGTCCCAGGGGCCCAGGAGACCAGCACAGTGCTGACCACTGCAAGGGCTCAGTGAGTGGGCCCATTGCAGTATAGCCTATCCAAAAGCAACTCTTGAGAGATGTTCTCCCAGAGTGTTTATCTAGCTCAGCAGGAGTTTCGAGGGGTAGGCATTTGAAACCCAAATAGGTCAATATTTACCCATGAGCTAGAAAAGCAATCAACTTTGAGAAGGGGCAGGCAAACCACTGTAGGGGAGGGTAGCCTGCACTGGCTGGCTGGGGGAAGCAGCAACTGGGGAACACAGTGGAATGATGAAGAGAGCAGCAAAACTGCACTCTTTCTACTGCTTCCTGTGTCAGCCATCATCACCACTATTGTTACTACTGTAGTATTCAACAAGGCTCCATTATTCGGCCCTTTGACCTTCCCTACATTTAGTTTAAGGCAAAAACTTGAGAAAGGACAAAGATTTGAAAATGACAATCACTGGTAGAGATTAGCAAGAGTAGAGATTAGCAAGATGCTGGATATTATCATTTTTTTCTTTTCTTTTCTTTTTTTTTTTTTTGAGACAGAGTCTCACTTTGTTGCCCAGGCTAGAGTGAGTGCCGTGGCGTCAGCCTAGCTCACAGCAACCTCAGACTCCTGGGCTCAAGCAATCCTGCTGCCTCAGCCTCCCGAGTAACTGGGACTACAGGCATGTGCCACCATGCCCAGCTAACTTTTTCTATATATTTGTTGGCCAATTAATTTCTTTCTATTTATAGTAGAGATGAGGTCACGCTCTTGCTCAGGCTGGTTTCAAACTCCTGACCTTGAGAAATCTGCCTCGGCCTCCCAGAGTGCTAGGATTATAGGTGTGTGCCACCGCACCTGGCCTCTTTTCTTTTCTTTTCTTTTTTCTTTTGAGACATAGTCTCACTCTATTGCCCTGGGTAGAGTGCAGTGGTGTCACCATAGCTCACTACAACCTCAAACTTCTGGTCTCAAGCCATCTTTCTGCCTCAGTCTCCAGAGTAGCTGGTACTACAGGCACTCACCACTAACCACACATGGTTAATTTTTCTATTTTTGGTAGAGACAAAGCTGGTCTCTTTGCCCAAGCTGGTCTCAAACTCCTGACTTCAAGTAATCCTCCTGCCTCAGTCTCCCAGAGTGCTAGGATTATAGGCATGAGCCACCGTGCCCAGCCTATCATTTTTTTCTATTCTGAACTCTACAGCTGTTGTCATCTTTTTCTCCAACCAGGGGTGACATTGGGTCACATTCTCTGGAGAGCTGGCTGTGTTTCCAGCTGTAATCTGGACCAGTCTCCCCACACTGTGAAGCCAGGCCTGTCTGGAGCCAAGATGGGCCCAGGCCTAAAAGAACACATCTGCTCCAAGGAACACAGAGCCCTCAGACTCAAGTCTCCACCGCTCGTTGGCCCCACTCAACCAGAGGAAAAAGGACACTGACTATGTGCACAGGTCTCTGCTGACACCACAAAAAATAAAGCACCAGGAAACATGGAAGGAGATAAGGAACAAGAGAGCAAGGGCCATGCCGCCTACGCCACCATGTAACTCAACAGAGTGCCTGGCAGACAGTGGACACAGGATAAAGAGTTTCTGAATGAATTGTGCCTGTTCGGAAGGAAATCACTCTGCCGCTGGGGAAGAGACATATATGATACAGGTAGAGAAAAGAGTTACACTGTGTGATGTAGATAGGTCAGTGTCATGGCCCGCCACAGAGAGGGTCCCATTGGAAGGGTAAGAATGTGATTGGAAGGGTGGGGTGACTCCTTGAGGGATGCTATGGAGCCGGAGCATTCCAGCACTGAGACATAGGGACACACACTGACAGTGGCGGACCAAGTAGAGGGTTAGGGTGGAGGGGCAGAGTGGGGCTGGAGAAGGCAGAGCAAGTCAAATAGAGGAGACTAGCTCCGAGGGAGTGACAAAACTTAAGAGCTAGTGCAGGTTTTTGAGCCGTGGGCACAGCAGAGAAGTGCTTCAGGATGATTTCTCTATTGGTGGTAAACGGGCATGGATGAGAGTGAGAGGAGTCAGGGCAGAGAGGCCGGCCAGAAGGGGTGGAGAAGTGCCATCAGCAAGGGTGTGAGGAGATGCGGAGCGGGCCGAGGTCAGTTGGTAGCAAGAGCTTGGAGGGGAAGAGCGGGTGAAAGAGGCATTTCTGAGGCCAGTGGCCTACAGGGCTTGAGGTTTTGAGCCAGCGTGAGAGGAAAGCAGTTATGCCATTGCTAGAGGGTAGCAGTTCCGCAGGAAATGTTCTTGACAGACCGTCACCCTCTATACAGAATATGCCCTCCACAACACTCAAATCTCCTGTATGGTTTTTCTAGGGTCAATACCCTTGGTTCTTCCTTTGAAAACACAGCTTTTGGCCAGATGCAGTGGCTCATGCCTATAATCCCAGCACTTTGGGAGGCCGAGGAGGGAGGATTCCTTGAAGTCAGGAGTTTGAGACCAACCTGAGCAAGAGCAAAATCCTGTCTCTACTAAAAAATTTTAAATCAGCCAGCACGGTGGCTCATGAATGGTGGCATATGCCTGTAGTCTCAGCTACTCAGGAGGCTGAGGCAGGAGGATTGCTTGAGCCCAGGAGTTTGAGGTTACAGTGAACTATGATCATGCCACTGCACTCTAGCATTCCAATCTGGGCAACAAAGCAAGACTGTCAGAAAGAAAGAAAGGGAAAGGGAAAGAGAAAGGGAAAGGGAAAGGGAGAAAAGAAAGAAAAAGAAAGAAAGAAAACACCACTGTCAAAAACCTCCTCATCATGCTAACTCTCCTTGTCTCCCCCTCCTCTGTCAAAGGGATGGGTGCCAGCAGTGGTGTCTCATCTCCTCCCTCCGTGGGCACTCAGCTGAGCTCAGAGACAAAGAGTAGGCCTTTGCATTGCATCCCTCTGTTTATTCAAATCTTGCCTCTGCTACTCCCCAGCTGAGTGACTGAGACTGAGGATGTGACCTTTCTGACCCTCCACTTCCTCATCTATAAAGTGGTGATAATAATAATGTCTACCTCATAATGTCAGCTAAGGATTATGTGGCACATTATAAATAAAAAGCTTAGCACAATGCCTGACACATTCTAAATGCTCAATAAACAAGCACTATTATTATTGATGTGGCCCAAATTTCCCTAGTTCCTTTCTTCTTTATTTTTAGCAGTCAGATCTTAAGAACTATATAATACTTATGGCCAATAAAACCTCTTACATAGTTTTACAAAATGCAAGCCACACAAGGTCTTCCCTTTAACAAACTTGTGCACTTGTTTCTAATCTATTTTTATTTATTTTTAATTTTTTTTTTTTAGAGATGGGGGTCTCGCTCTTGCTCAGACTGGTCTTGAACTCCTGACCTCAAGCAATCCTCCAGCTTTGGCCTCCCAGCAGGCTGTTGAGAAGATTTTGCATCTTGAGCAATAATAACAGCCACCATCCGAGGGGTACATACTCTGAGCTAAGCACTATGCTGCTAGTTGTTCATTCGCTCTAGGTCATTTAATCTTCACAACAACCCACTGAAGACAGTACTGTTATCCCAGTTTTATAGGAAATTTTGGCCTGGAGGTATTAAATCACCTGTCCAAGATCACAGAGCCAGTGAGTCGAGCCAACATAGACTCCAGGCAACACATTCTTAACCCCTGTGCTAAATTAGATGCAGGTAAAGTCAGATGCTTTAGCTGACTGGCTAAAGACCCACCAACCCTTTTGATGCCACCAACTCAACTTGTGTGCATATAAGGGGGGGCTGTGGCTCAAAACACACAGTTTTTGGAGAAAGTACCATCTACAAGATGAATGAATTCAAGTAATGATTCAGTTTCCATCTTTCCCATCACTGCTTTGCTCCTACTCAATCCCCTATACCTATCACCACGACTGGCACAAAGGAAATGCTTAAGAAATCTTTGTTGATCAAATGAGTCCTAGAGAAGGGACAAGAAGTGAAAAGGACGAGGTAGGGAAAGGGGATGGGAGGAAGGGAGAGAACTAAAGATAAAGGAGCAAGAGTGAAAGAAGAAACAGAAGGATGGGTTTAGAAGAGAATGAGTGGAGGAGAGAGAGCAATATACCCTCCCAAGGCCCTCATCCACTATTTGCCTCAAATGTATCTGTGAGTGACCCAAGGTTTTCCAGTAACCCCTTCCCATTTTTTTTAAATTAAATAGCAATAGGGTCTCACTATGTCACCCAGGCTGGAGTACAGTGGCACAATCATAGCTCACTGCAGCCTCAAATTCATGGGCTCAAGAGATCCTTCCATCCTGGCCTTCTAAAGTGCTGGGGTTACAGGTGTAAGCTACCATGCCCAGCCAGTCCCAATAAATTATCCTGGATTCAGCCTTCATTTCAGGAATTCCCTCTTCTCTCCAAAAGCTAAGGGCAGCTGAACCCTTAACCCTGCCTGATCCCTTACCCTGCATGCTTCAAAGTGAGTTGGGATCTGTCCTTTCTCAGAGTCTCTCTGAGTTTCCCGGAGTGGCTTCAGAGCTCAGTGCTACCTTCCTGCCCTACTTCCTCTTCCTGCCTCCAGTTCCCTGGAGAAGAGGCTGTCCAGGCATCATGACCCTGAGCCAGGCCACATATCCATCACTCCTCTGCCAGTTTCTCCAAGGGAGAATCTTAAAGCACCAAGCCTGTTTCCTGACCAGCCTATCTTCCCAGGAGCCCCAGGGTAGGGGGAAAATTGGCACCAGCTGTTCCTGACACCTTTGCCTTGGAGATGGCAAGTGAGGACAGAGGCCAGAGTCTGCAGCAGGAGTGGGAGTGACTCAACTCAGGAATGTGTCACTAGGTAGAGGTTAGGAGGGAGTCAGCCCTGTGCCACACTGATAACTTCAGTGGAACTTTTACAGTAAACATCTGCCTTTCTCTTTTGCCTGGGAAGGAGTTTGCTCTCCAACACCCTGCCATGGGGCTAGAATGGCCTGTGCCACCCCGGATCTGCTCAGGTTTCCGACTCCTGGGCCAAGCTTAGCTGCTCGCAGCTGCGGGAAGGGCTGAAAAGGTCATCATCACATTACCTACCACTTCTTAGTAGTGGCTTCGGAGTGCCAGGAGGATCTCTGCCATTGTATCTCCTTTAACCTCGCAATGACCTAAGGTAGGTATTGCTGACCCCACTTCACAGATGCGGAAAAGGAGGCTCAAGGAGGTTAAGAGACTTGTCCCGGGTCAGAGAGCCGGTATCCCAGCCCGGAGTATGACTCCAGAGCCGGTGCTCTTAACTGCTTTGCTCCAGGAGAATGGGAAGCCCGAGCCCCGCTCCCTCGGAGGGGCAGCCCGGACGGGGCGCACGCCTCACTCTCCCTCCCCGCGCGGGGCGGAGGGTCCAGCCCCGGTCCCGCTCCTGGCCGCCAGTCACCTTGCTGGGACCCGCGCGGGCCGGGGGGACGCCCCCGCCCGCGGACTTCGGACTCCTCTCTCCTACCCTCGCCCTCTGCCCCTCGCCAGGCTGGCCGGCCCCGCCCGGGCCTCACCATCGCCGCCGCCTCCTCGCCGGCTCCGGCTCCTCTGCCCCAGCGGCCGCGGAGGCAGCGGCCGGGAAGGAAGCGGAGGGGCGGGGCGGGGCGGGCCGCCCAGCGAGGGCGGGGGGCGAGCCTTCCGCAAGCGGGGACCGAGACCAGGTCAAATCGAAAGCGACCTGCGACAGAGACGGGGTTCTTGGGGGCGCCTCCTCCCGGGCCGCTGACGCCTGACTTCGGATGACACCTCAGCTTCGTGAACTGGGGGCTATGCCTGAGCCACACGCGGCCAGGTCTGGGCACGCGGGCCCACCTGGGGGACTAATCTCTGAGATGGGAACAGCAGAGTGGGCCCTGCAGACCTCTCCCGGGCTGCATGGAGACTGGTAGATCGGGTTTAGCTGGGGAGAAGTCATCATTCAACAAGCACCTGTATGAATGCCATTGTCAGGCACTGTGCTAGGTGCTGGCACCCATGAACAAGGGTGCCACCTCCTAAGTGCATCTCACCCATCACCACAAACAGGCCCACCAAAAGAAACGAAAGAGAAGTGATGGTTGCACAACCTTCAGAATACACAGGTCACTGAATTGTACACTTTAAAATGGAAAACTGTATGTTATGTGAATTTCACCTCAATTCAAAAAGAAAGCAGACCCCAGGGGTGAGATTCTAGCTCTTGCTTCTCTGTATTTCTCTCCTCCTGTGAGAGCAAGTGCAGTTCTGCCCTGGTGTGAACCTGTTCCTCAGTCAGGTGATTGGGAGGCTGGCGTGTCCGCCACACGTCAGAGCCTTCCTGAGCTGACTGTACCCGTCTTCTCCTATCAGTGCTACAGAGAAACCACCAACCACCTGTTCCCTGCCCACCCCATGCTACCCCCCAACATCTTAAATGAGGTGCCTCTTTATCAAGTGGGATGAGGACTTCCCTCCCTGGGGCTGAGCCTCTGTGAACACAGAAGGCCCTGACCAAAAGGTTTTCTCAACCTCCAACCACCACCCTGGACAGCCTGGGTCCCAAGGAAGAGATGTCACCTTAGTCTCTTAGACTTTGAGTGGACTGAGGAGAGAGGAGATGGACATAAATTAGGGCAAAACTTCCCTGAGGGTCTCTTGTGCTTTCCTCCTCTCTCCCCAAATTTCAGAGCATGATTCCAGAACCTGACTTGCCAGTCTAGTGTCAAATCCTGTCTCCCAACCCTGTCCCTTCCCCTCTTCCTCCCCAAAACAGGTTGTTCCCAATTTCTGGAGAGTCTGGAAGACATAGGGACAGAGATGGCAAGAAACCTCCCCACAAACCAGGGCAGACTAGGCACTGGAAAGTGTGACAATGACGATGGAACCTGGTGGGGAGGAGGGAGGCCTGAAGACAGAGAGGCTCATTGTGCAGGAGGGGAAGGAAGACCATGGCCCCGTCCTGTGACACTGACTGTGCCCAGCCATGGGATGCGGGGGAGAGATGCTCACCCCCTCAGGACAGCTGAGACCCAGAGGCCTTGCTAAGTCCCAAAGGGCAGGGGCAGAGAAAAGACAAACAGAATATGCAGAACTACAAGAAAAGGAAAAGCAGTCCAGTTCCCCCAACCCTTGGCTCTAGACTACGACAGGGCCGTAGAAGAGAGGGGGCAATAGCAGAAGAGGCAGGAGGCTCTCAGCCAGCTCCTAAATGCTCTGTCCAGGTCGGCGTCATGTCTCAGCTAACAATTCCAGAAGAAGAGTAATAAAGGGCCATGGCAAGACCCAAGAGGTACCCTTAAAAATCTTGCATACTATCCTAAAATGTTGTGAAGGGGCTGGGTACAGTGGCTCACACCTGTAATCCCAGCACTTTAGGAGGCCAAGGTGGGAGAATTACTTGAGGCCAGGAGTGCAAGATCAGCCTGGGCAACATAGTAACATCCTGTCTCTATAGAAATTAAAAATGAGGCCGGGTGTGGTGGCTCATGCCTGTAATCCTAGCACTCTGGGAGGCCAAGGCGGGCAGATCGCTCAAGGTCAGGAGTTCGAAACCAATCTGAGCAAGAGTGAGACCCCATCTCTACTAAAAATAGAAAGAAATTAATTGACCAACTAAAAATATATAGAAAAAATTAGTCGTGCATGGTGGCGCATGCCTGTAGTCCCAGCTACTTGGGAGGCTGAGGCAAAGATTGCTTAAGCCCAGGAGTTTGAGGTTGCTGTGAGCTATGCTGACACTATAGCACTCTAACCCGGGCAACAGAGTGAGACTCTGTCTCAAAAAAAAAAATGAGCTAGGCATGGTGGCATGCACCTGTAGTCCCAGCTACTCAGACGGCTGAGGCAGGAGGATCACTTGAGCCCAGGAATTTGAGGCTGCAGTGAGCTATGATTGCACCACTGCACTTCAGCCTGGGTGACAGAGTGAGACCTATTGCTTAAAAAAAAAAAAAAAGTTTTGAATTTTCCATATGCTAAGATTCCCCCCCAAATTCTTGTTTTGTTTTTTTTTGAGACAGAGTCTCGCTTTGTTGCCCAGGCTAGAGTGCCATGGCATCAGCCTAGTTCACAGCAACCTCAAACTCCTGGGCTCAAGCAATCCTCCTGCCTCAGCCTCCCAAGTAGCTGGGACTACAGGCATGCGCCACCATGCCTGGCTAATTTTTTCTATATATATTAGTTGGCCAATTAATTTCTTTCTATTTATAGTAGAGACGGGGTCTCGCTCTTGCTCAGGCTGGTTTTGAACTCCTGACCTTGAGCAATCCGCCTGCTTCAGCCTCTCAGAGTGCTAGGATTACAGGCGTGAGCCATCTCGCCCAGCCCCCAAATTCTTGTTCTTGAGTCCCATGATAATGAATGGAGCAGAGATGAATAAAATATTTCATCTTTAAACATACACTCTCATCCTTTGATAACTTGGGCCTCAGATGGGAGAACCTCAGCCAGAGAGTCCTACAGGAGAAAAGAAATAGAAAAGCCAAAGGCAAAATGGAAAGGGAGAAAGTGCCTCTTACACATAATGATACTGAAAGGTCTTTATTGCCCACTAGCCACCAACTGTCTCCCAGCCACATGCTGGGCCCTCTGGTCTCTCCAACCCACTCTAAGGACCCAGAAATGCAGCCACAGTCCAGCTCGCTCTCTCTGGGGGACCAAGGTGCTCCCTGGGGCATACGACATGGCAGAGGGGCCTCAGGGTAAGGGGCAGTAGAACCTAGCAGCATTCCCTGTGGAGAAGGACAGGAGATAGGGCCCTCTTGGCACCCATTACGAGGGGTTGCCCCCAAAGAAGAGGGCAGGGTGGGCAGGGCTGCCTAAGTTACTTAATGGATGACACCAGTGGCAAAGAGCACGATGAAGAGGACGATGATAAAAACAATGACGCAGATGAGGACAATCATCTTCACGTTCTTCCACCAGAACTTCCGAGCCACCTTCTGCGATGTCGTCTTGAAGTGCTCAGACTGTTGGGGATAAGGTAGAGTGAGTGACCCACTGGCTCTTCCCACTGGAACAAGAGGGGGAACAGAGCCCCACATGCCATACACGTGCCATACATCTAAGTGTTTGCATTAGAAGCAGAGGTAACAAACTGTTAAATAAACGATGCTCTATCTGTCTACCTTGACAAATATACCTTCCTAACAATCTGGAGGGCCAGGTTCAAATTTAGAATTCTCAGGCTCCTGGTAAGTCCTGAATGTGACTAGGGGTCCCCTTTCTTTTCTTACCCCTGCACTGTCACACACATTGAGGGGTCTTTAACACATGCTTACACCCAGAGTTGTGACACTGCAGCACCATCTGCCCTCAGGACGGCAGACCCTGGGGCCAGGGGTGCAGGCCCCAAGGTGGGCACATCTCCCGCTCCAAGACTCCTTGCTAGAGGAGGGACTGGGATAGTACATGGGGTAGGAAGTGAGGAAACTTCTCCTCCTCCCCTCACAACTCAAGGTGCAGACACTAAGTTTCCCTGGGCCATGCTCCCCAGATTAAGCTGCAGAAAGAGGCACTAAGTCCCAGGGACACAAAAGAGCAATACCCAAGGTTACATACACGATTCCTAAAGCCAGAGCCAGGCCCTCCCTCCTGGACATGAAGGCTCCAGCCTTTGTTGAACTTTGGAGTTACTCCCTGCCTGAGCAGCTGGCCTCAGCCTCTGGCTGAAGAGAGAGAAGAATGAGGCCTAGCAAGATGTGTAGGAGATATTATTCCAGCCTTCAGCTGGCAGAGGACCCTGGGATCAAAGAATTTCACTGCTCTTTCTAGCTTCTTTTTAAAGCCGACTCAGCAAGACTCTAGCGGTTTTCTACTCCCTGCCTAATTACTCCTAAAGGAGGCCAAAGGCCCTAGGAGGATTTTCTCAGAGCCAATATTTTCACTCTGGGGAGGTCAGGTCCAGATGATTGTCAAGGGCAGGCTTCAGAGGGAAAATCAGTTCCACAGGAGAGAAGCCTAAAAATGCATAGGCTGCCTGTGATATCTGTCCATCTCAGAAAATGCCTGTTGGTCAGCCCCCCACCCCAAGCCCCAGTCATTGGACCCATTCCCCAGACTCAATACCAATCAGTGGAGCATAGTATATTCAGAAGCGGGGACTCAGCTCACATCAGCTCCTCAAACAGGTGAAAGGTGACAGAAAAAATGGCAGACTTCCATTACTCCTGTTCATTTTGCCCCACCAAAAAAAATTCTCTTCCTCCCAATAATTCTCCCTCCTTCTCTTCCTCTAGCCCCCAGTGGGCTCCCCATCTTACTGTGGCTTCCAGATCCTCTGTCTTGTTGCGGAGATGGTCCAAGTTTTCTCCTCGGGCCAGGATCCGCTCCACATTCTGGGTCATGATATTCTTGACTCCCTCCACCTGGCTCTGCAGGTTCCGCACGTGGTCATTTCCTCCACCTCCACTGGCTTCCTCCTGAGCAACAACACAAGGGTTAATTAGACCAAGTGGTGTAAGAAGGAAAAACTCAGCCTC